TTTGCCTACTTTTTAAAATGTTTCTAAAATGACTTAGGCAAATGTCATTACTCTGAGCAGCAATACGGCCAGTGTGAACCTTTTTTGGGATGTTTCTTTTCAATAAAATCAGTCACTTTCTGATAATACCTCAAGATTTCCTTTATCGAGCAAGATCCTTCCACGACGAAGCAAACATGCAGACTGAGACCAATGAACAGAAGTGAATAAAAAATGGCACTGCGAACTAATGTAACATCGTATGGTGAGTTTTTGTTCGTACCATGAAGCAAAATTATGTTTGAATTTCATGTTGTATCCTGAAAATTTCGTATGCTGGGGCGTTCGTATCCTGAGGTACCACTGTATATATAACACTTAATTTTTTTATTTTTTAATATAATTACATTTAAACATTTTATTGTCAATCCTGGAACTGCATTGTGATACTTAGCTTACTGAGTTTTGTGTGTGAACTGAACTATTCAGTTCTCACAGAAACTGATTAGTCCAGTGATTTGTTCTTTTAGAACTGAGTTGATACAAAGATGTCTTGTCAAAACTGATAGGGACAATATAAGATTCCATACTGAAGAGGGATAATGATTTAGAAACATATCTATGGCTATTGAATGACAATTTATGAAATAAAGGTTTTTGACATGGCAAGAGTTGTTTTGGACTAATCAGTTCTCCTAGAAAACTAAGTATATTAAACATTTTATGTATCTAAAATATGTGATATTTACAGTCATGGCTTTATCAACTTACTCCCAAAAACATTGAAAATCTTATAGAACATTCCATAGCAAAAACTGGTGAACATAATATGTGGGTAAGTTGTTTATCAATGTTTTTAGTCTTTTATTGCAACATGTATACACACACATCCCTTGATTAATGCAGTTAATTAATCCCTCGATGCTAATGCATATATCAAAATCATGTTAATCAAATACAGTAGCTATGTTAAGTAAAGACAGCTGGTAAAGGTGTGTTAGTTAAAATTTCTGCTGCATATATAAAGGGATTGTCACAATTAATCTTGTGTTAATCAAATCCCACATTAAGCAAAACCTCATTAAGCAAGGGATACCTGTGTGTGTGTGTGTGTGTATAAAATAGGTAAAATGTTAATTTTAATTATGATTTTAAAACTTAGAATGGTTATAAATAATAATAATAATAATGCCTTTTTTTTATTATGCAGTATTTATCATCATTGGGAGTTCTAGCTTTAACACAACTAAAATCATTATCATCTACCAATCCTGCTCAGTAAGCTTTTAAAATTTTATTAAATTAAAATTCTAATGATGTATTTTTTTAAGTAAGCAATTAAAAAATTTATATTTCAGTGTATTTGAGGTAATGATGAAAAGTGATATTTTAAACTGTCAGCATTCAATGACCGAATTAATGGGAAGTTCCTATTCACAAAGAGCTGCTTTATGGACATTATATGGAAACAGGTAAATTTTTAATGAACTAACTACATTTGATTGAATTTTTATGTTAAAATGAATTGATAATTTGTATTTTTTCTAGTTTAATGTCTGTATTAATTAGTCAGTTATTACTTCACTTAAACATATCTGATCCTATAAGAGGTGGAGTTTATCACATTGGAAAGGGCACTTGTCTTGCATTATGTAATATAGCAAAAATGTACAGTAGTCAGGTATGCATTTTATATACTAATTTTATATACAAATATTTAAACTATAATATATATTATAAATAATTGTCAAACTTCAAGAACATTATTTTTCATTCCTATTAAATATATCCAAAGGTATTAAGTCCAGATCCAACAATAAAATGTCGGTGTCTGTCTACATTTTACTCTATGTTTATGTTGTGTTTAATGATCTTTGTTAAAAAAAGATTTTTAGTATTTTATCTTTAAGTCATTGCTGTCAGTCCCTGACTGGAATTAAAAAAAGACTCAACTTGTTTATATAGTCTTTATTAATTAATATGCAAATAATCCTGCATTTGTGAGAAGTTATATTCAAAGATTTTAATTTTTATTTTCAAAATCTTTTAAGTGTATACAGGTTACAGGTATATATGTTACTGTGAAAGACCGAAATTAGAGAATGTTGATATTCTCCGGTGAATGTCAACAAATACAAAATACGTTGGTGAAAGACTGAATATTTGGTTATATTTGAACAATAGCCGGTGTATGTCGACAAGCAAAGATAAGCTTTGGTGGAGGTTGAAACGACACCTGAGAAGCCGATGTCGACAGAGAGGCGACAGTTGTTGCCAAATCCTTTGTGGAGGTCATACAGTACCTCTTTTCCCGGCAACAGTTTGGTGGAAACTGCCCACTTTGTCAACGGATGGCGTTTTTGTTCTTTTGATCCCGTGAGGAGGGGATCAGTTTGTCGGGTCGAGTGACGGAGGTTGAGAGGGGTCGTCGGTAAGACGTTGGTGATATCCGAATAAAAGACACCATTAATTAACAGATCAATTTGTAATAACGTAATCAGTTTGTAATTTGTAAAGAAAAGTTACTTTCCATACATGAGATTTCTTCTCAAGGAATATTGCTGAGAGAAGCAACTGCATCTAATTCGAAAAGTGGAACGCTGTCATTGCAAAAAGAAGTGTTCCACGAATAAATGCAGTTATAAAAGCAAGGGACTCTTGTGCAATTCAAAGTGCCATAACAGTTGTTGCAACAAATAAGATTGTATAACATTAATCACATAATTTATGTGTAAGTTTATTATTGTATTGTTTTCTTTAATGATTTAGAATGTGCTGTTACTTAAGCTTTCTCCTATTTTGACATATTAAAAAGTTGCAATTTTATCTTAACGTAATAAAAATATTTTTATTCAACATTCACCATCAGTGCATGCTGAATGTCGACATTTGGCCGGTGTAAGTGAGAAATAATGATATTTAGCAAATATTTCGTACATTCACAAAATGACTGTGTGAATGCTAACATTCACTGGAGAATGTTGACATTTGCCAAATATCAGTCATTCACAGTAACATATATATATAAATGGATGTGTTTGTGCCTATATTTCACTCTGCAGCCAAAACTACACTTCGCACATGAATGGTGTTTGTGTGTAGTAGTAGCCTCAAGTCTCCCATCGTGCACTATGGTGGTTGCGTCTTGATAGCTATAAGGGTGTGGGAGATATGGGGTTGAAAGTAGTTGACTTCTAAAATGTGTAACAATGGAAGTGTCAATAATGGAAGTGTGAACATTGGAAGTGTTAACCAGTCAGTTGCGCAGTACTACCATTGGAGTAACCGGTTTTAGTTAAACTGTTGCGCAGTACTCCAGTTGGAGTAAATATCAATTTTTTTTCGTAATTAACTAGTTGGTGGTGATTTAAGCACTGATTGGCATTTATGTACATAGATTAAGTCTGTTTCAACGAATAAGATATTTGTTACCACCCCGTATTTTTAAATTTTCTTACAAAACCCCTCCTTTCCATGTTAAGTCTATGGGAGACTTTTCTTTCATTCATTGGACAATAAAATTTTTGTTTACAAGCCTGTTGAACTCTAATTGGTATATTATTGCTAAATGACTATGGTTTAACAAATAAGCATCGACTTGGGTCTGTAGGGTGGGAACTTTCTTGGAGAAAGTTATTTTTGTCCGAGCTACATTGTCAGCTATAAACGTAAACAATCAATCATAAATCAATATTGTAATTTTATTTTTAGCTTGAATTTAATAAAATCATACATATATTTATCCTATTTAACGAATATTAGTGTTTTTAGGATCATTCAGTTGTAAATTTTTTCTAAAAAACGAAGTACTTCCGGTTAAGACCATGCCCCCTAGCAGAATGGCACTTGACCTAGATTTTGTAGCCACCACCCCCCTCAAAAGCCGAACTTCGTTATATATTATTCAGGGATGCACAACCTTTTCTGAAGAAGGGCCAAATTAAGATTAAGTTTACTGACTGGGGGCCGGACCTCCAAGTGATTAATGCGATGTCTGATGTAATTTGCGAGATTCTTTGTTGTATCGTCATGTGATTAAGACTGATTGTTTGAAAACACTGTCTTCTCAGGACACATCTCACTTGCGATGATAAGTCATTTTCTTATCATATCGCCATCTGTGAAAGGTTTCCCATTCTTGGCTATTAAAGCAGATATTTCTAGGCTGGCTTCAACAGCCGCATCCAGTTCTCCAGATTGTTTCTTGAACACATTTTGTTGGCTGATTAGTGATCGTCATAACGATTCGATNAATAAATTAATAAAGTATTTATAAAAAAACGAATTTTTTTTTAATATTTAAAAATCTTAAAATTTATTAATTTTTTAAAACATACATAATATTTTAAAGTCAACAATCGTAAAGTGTGATATGTGCATAATAACAGACAAAAAACAGCTCAGATCTACTGAAATTTTTAAGCATAATATTGCAAATTTAAAAATTACTATAAAAACCAACAAATATTTTAAAGTCAACAATCGTAAAGTGTGATATGTGCATAATAACAGACAAAAAACAGCTCAGATCTACTGAAATTTTTAAGCATAATATTGCAAATTTAAAAATTACTATAAAAACCAACAAATATTGAGCAACAACAGTGTAGTTTTGGATTCTTGAGATGCACAGCTGAGAGGTTAACAATGGAAATGTTCAGTAACAAAGGAAGTGTTAAGAGAAAGAGGCGTGCATGATTTACAGGCGCAGATGTGGTTTTTTGCATTTTTGCGGNTAAAAACCAACAAATATTGAGCAACAACAGTGTAGTTTTGGATTCTTGAGATGCACAGCTGAGAGGTTAACAATGGAAATGTTCAGTAACAAAGGAAGTGTTAAGAGAAAGAGGCGTGCATGATTTACAGGCGCAGATGTGGTTTTTTGCATTTTTGCGGAAAATCAAACATATTTTTAGACTCATGTAAACGTTCTCTAATTAGTCTGGAAATGGGGACCTAATTCTTGCATTCTCTGAAAACGGGTATGATTAGCTGTAATGTAATTATCTTAATTTTAAATGTCTTGGAATAGTCGAGTATTATTATGTGTGAGTAGTGGGGATAGCTTTTGGAGACGTGTGATGCACATGCTTCAGTTAATATTTCATAAGTAAAAGTGTATGAATAACAGAAAAAAGTATAAAATGAAAAGTGAATAGTGAAGTGTGAAAAGTAAAAATATAAAAAACAATGCCAAAGCATAAGAAAGAATTTTTGCGGTCTTGAATCATATTGAAACAGAAATAATCAGACAGAAGAGCAACTTGAAAATTATAGGGAAACACATTGAATCAGAGAATGATTATGTAGAGGAAGAGAAACAGTCTTTTATATACAGTCATACCCCGAACTTACGCGATAGGTGGGACCGAGCGATAACCGGGTAAGTCGAATTCGCGTAAGTCGGGGTATAATTTTGCATATAAATACATACAAATAATTTTTAATTGGGGCCAGAGACTAAAGAAAACAATAATTTAGAAAAAAAAGTTTAATAAAATCTTAGATAATACATGTGTATAACAAATTATATTATACAATTTTTCACATTTACTCGATTATCACACCATAATTTTAACATTGTTTCTATCTCAGTGATAATACAGTGACGTTTACGAATGATGCTTGAATGTAAAGATTGAGCATATTTCACAGCTTCGAGATTTTTTTCTTTACCTTTTATAATTGTTCTGACCATCGATTCAAGTAGATCAAACTTCTTGGCCAATTCACAAATTTTCATTTTTGTATCGAAGTCTTTAATAATGTAAACTTTACATTCCAAAGATTAAGATTTTCTTTTCTTGTTTGATGCAGAAGAATCAGTTCTACTTCATTTAGATGACATAGTAGATTCTCTCGAGTCTCCGTAGATATAACAAACACAGAAATAAATAACACAAAATAAATTGTAGCTATATGTTGATTCTGCGTGACACGTCCGAACATGTAAGCCGAAGAATAGTGTGGGGAAAGTGAGTAATTAAGAGTTGCATGGCGCCCAAACAAAAGACGAATCGATGAGATTTGAAAATCGCGTAACTCTAGGTTCGCGTAAGTCGGGGTATTACTGTATATAAAAAAACTATATTACATATAAATGTACGAACAAATAATAATCCAGCAAAGCAGGTTCTTGCAGCTAGTGTGTGTATATATATATTACATACATACATACCAGCATGTACTGTACATATAAATACACATATGCATACTGTATTTTCTGTAATAATCACTTACATAAATAGTCGTCTTGTAGTAATCACCCATCTACTTGTATTGAGAGATAAACTGCAATGGTTGACCTAAATATTGGTATATTAATGGTGATATTATTGGTATACAATGGGTGATCGGTTAATGAACAGTTTGGACTATGAACAAATTGGATAACGAACACTTTCGCAAAGATTTTTATGTTTGGACAATGAACACCTCACAGAACAAACACAAGAAGAAGTGGTGTAAAATAATGAATACCGATTGGTCTTCCCTTGTCTTCAGGCAACAATTTGAAACTCATTCTCTTCAGTTTTTATTTTCAAAAGGTGAGAGTATAATAGCAAAGATAGAGAGTTGGCAAAAGATGTCTGGACAGTATGGCTTCGAACAGATCTACAGTAGGCTGCAGTTCAATCTTATTTAAGAAAGATACAGTATAATCAAGAAGACTCAAGCAGCTAAAGGAGTAACAAAATCACATTTGAGGAATAAAGAACATTGAAGAGCTCATAGTGGAACCTGAAACAGATCTGACGACAGAAGAATGCCAAGAACTCTTGAATGAAGAACACAAGAAACTCAACAAGATATGCTTTCTTCTGAAAAAGAGAATTAATTTCGATATCTGCTATTAAAGATCTTTTGAAGAAGTGGGAGAATGTCAGAACAACTGTCTTAGAATGGCGTCCAAACCAGGTTGAGGTTAATAGGCTTGGGGATCTCTACAATTACAATGCTATTAATTACTTCTGAAAAATCCTGAGAAGAGAGGAAAACAATCAGCATTAGACAGATTCTTTAACTCCTATAAATGGAAAAAACATGACTAATAAAAATGCAAGACTGTGTATATGTGTATTTTTATTATTACATATAAATAAATGTAGTAAGAAAGTACAGGTAACCCCCGTATAACACGGCACTTCTATAGCACGGATTCACTCTAACACGGTTTGAGAATTGGTACCATCCCCCGTATAACACGGTATTTTTATAGCACGGATTCACTCTGACACGGTTCGAGAAATGGGTAAAACCCTCGTACAACATGAAATGTAATAAATTTTTACATACTTAAGTACTAATAGTTCACGAAAATTATTATTTTCGTGAACTATTAGTACTTCAGTGTGTAAATTTTCTTTTCTCGTCTCCATACACATGGTCCTTCGCGAAAATTGTTTCAATTTTGCCAGATCTCGACGCTTCTGCTTCTGGTGTTGCCAGATGTTTTTCCCTTATTCCATAAGTGCTTAGCACCATATAAGGAAATTTATAAAGATCTTTTAACTAGAAGCAAGCAATCTAAAATTACATACACTTTTTGCAAAAGGTAAAGCATGAATCTGAAAATAATGCAGAAAAATGCTCAGAGGATAACGATAACTTGCCAAAAATAAAACGCTTTTGGTTAATAGTGCTTTTAGTGATGACAAAGAAAACATTGTTTGATTTATATTAATATGTATCACTTAAGAAAATTTTAATAAAGATATTTATCTTAATTATGAAAATATAGTAGCATGTTTTTTAATTTTTGGAACCTAACCCTCCTTTTCGTAGTAGTTCTTTGTTTCGCATAACACGGCACTTTTTTGGAACGTAACTACCGTGTTATACGGGGTTTACCTGTATATATTTTTTATTTTTTGAAGTTTCCAGAATGAATTAATCAAATTTGCATGAAAACCTATTGTAAATCGATAATCGGTTAATGAACAATTTGGATAGCGAACAAAGTCTTGGAATGGATTATATTTGTTAATCGATCACCCACTGTATTTGATATTATTGACTAATCCATTATCAATATATTTTCTGATACTGAAGTGTTAATTAATTAATTAATAATGAATACTAGTTGATATCATTGACTGATATCAGGAATTATCATTAACAATTGACTAATATCAAGAATTATCAAAATTTATGATGTTAATTCAAGTCACTTTTTATATATAAAAAGTTATTTAAAACAATAGAGTCCATTTCTATTTCATTCACTTAATTGTATTATAAAAGTTATTGTAAAAACATTTCTTAAAAAAGTCATTACAGATAATACCGAATTCAGAATAGTATTAAAAATGCAGATGAATTAATAGCTAAATTGGAAAAAGAAAAAATTCTGCCAGAATACAGATTATTGAGTTTGGACATAACATCAATCTATCCTTCCATTGTTTGCAATATGATCGAACAAAGCTTATATAAGTACCAAGTCCCAGAGTATTTGAGGGAGCTGATAAATTTCACATTGGTTAATAATTATTTTTCAGTTGGAAAACTTTTTTATTGTCAAAAAGATGGAATCTCCATGGGGTTGGTAATAGGCCGAAAATTGGCAGAAACTATATGTTGGATATAGATAAAACTATTTCAAATTTTAAAGATTCTTATGTATTCTTAGCCAGGTATGTTGATGACATTTTCATCATAGATAATAGTGTAACAACCACATCAAAGGAAATTCTGGTGTATGCTAACAAAATTAATCCACATATTACATTTACTCACAAATGTGAAAAATATAAAAAGATAAATTATTTAGATATAATGATTGTGAGATTCAGTGATCACCTTAAATATTGTAGGTTTGAGAAGCTGTGTAACACCAAAAAGGTAATTAATTTTAAATCATATTGTCCCAGAAACCATAAAAGGAATGTATATTTGATGGAATTAAGGAAGATTTTCTCAAGAACTACCAAAAGCAATGTTTGTGAAAAAGAAATTAAAGTGCATAAGAAGTATATTTTAAACAGGTATCTGTTAAAATTATTGAATAATTGGTACGAGAGATTTATAATGGATAGATATAAAGTATAAAACAAACATGAAGTTAAACAGTATATATCATTTCCCTATATTTGAGGAGTATATGATAAATATAATAAAATCTTAATCAAAATAATCAAATTAAATTTGCCCTGTCTCAAAATAATAGGTTGTCAGATCTGTTGGTCATAGGAATAAGAATAAAAAAGAATATCTTAGAAGAAGGTGTAGTATATAAACTGAAATGTACATATAATATTCCAAGTTTTTACATTGGGGAAACTAAAAGAAAATTAAAGAAGAGATTATCTGCTTTGGTAATATTAAAACATAACAATTCTCCAATTTATTGCCATTGTAACGTTAATAATTGTAAAATTGATGTCAAAATGTTAAAATTGTTTATTGTGAGAAAAATACTGTAAAATACTGTGAAAAGTAAAAGAAACTTTGCGATAATTATGCAAAATAACGTTGTAAATTTAAATATGGTTAGTTGGTGGCTGCATGTTGGGAAGTTGTCATTGAGTATACAAATGTAACTTTGCAAAATATGAATTGTATTATGTGATGTTAAAACCCAAAACTATATAGTTGTCACTGACTCTACTGAGGAAGCCTTCTAGATATGAAGGTGAAATGCATTTAGAGGTGTCATTGGTTTATTAAAAGTATTTCTGCAATTGGATTCACTGCCTTTTTAATTTTTAACTTTTACTGTGTTACTTTTATAATGTTTTAAAGCTTATTTATCCTTCCCAAGTTGGATTAGATTGAAAATTATTTTTTGTGTATTTTTTATAGCACTTTTTATATATTTGTCACAATATTCTGATTTACAAAGTTTTATGTTAATTGTCCCTGCTGGAGAGTTGCTCTTTTTTAGTTTTTGCTGGACTAACTCTGATTCTAGAGTCAATATTTTCATCTTATGGACTCTGACTACAACACTGGCTCCTTAGTATTTAATATATTATTCACCATTCCATTAGTACATTAGATTAATTAACTTCATATTCATACAATTCTTTTAAACTTCCTACTCTTAAAAGCAGTCTAACTGCTCTAATCTCTAATTATGAAATATAGATTTAGTTAAGGAATTGAAGTCAGCAAAAAATTTGTTTATACTGACTCTTCAGCTCTTTTTTTTTTTCTTACAATATCAATAGTTTTTTACTCCAATAATTGTCCAGCAAAAATGAAAAAAGTTGCCCAGTGGGCAATTATCACAGGAAATGCATTATTTATTTTAAAGTTAACCAGTAATTATAATTCAAAAGTCTTGTCTTCAAAAACTAATCTTAGACAAGATATGTTTGTATTTAAACTAAGTTTGCCTTTTAATACATTAAATATAAATGAATTAGCAACATACTTAAGAATAAAATAGCATTTGAAAGATCTTGATATGATTTTCAGTTTGCTACTAGAAAAAGATCACTGATAATAAAAAATACAAATTATTTTATGCATCTGTAAATTATGTAATAAAAAAAATATTTCTAGGGTCAATATAATTCAGCAATAGAAGTTTTGTCTCACGCCAAAGAATTATTCAATCCTCATGTTGAACTTGCTCATAATTGGATGCTTTGTGAACAAATTGTGTTGTTTGAGAGAGCAATTCATCATGGAAAGTGGCAAGAAGCTTCAATGGCTATTGCTAGCATAGATATATTAGATCCATTAGAAGCTACTTACAGGTAGATACTTTTATTTATGTCTTATCACATAGTAGTAATAATAATAATAATAACAATAACAACAACAACAATAATAATAATAATAATTCCACGTAAAGAAGGCGGACGTGGCCTGATCGACATAGTTAACCTTCACTACAAACAAATACAGTCACTGCGAGAGTTTTTCTACAAGAAACAAGAAACATCACAGTTACATAAAGCAGTAACTCTAGCAGACTTAAATAACACACCATTAAACTTACACTCACAACATACAGACATGACACAACATATAAAAAGCATAGACAACATTAAGCAATTATGGGCTCAAAAGGCTCTCCATGGCAGGCATCCTTACGACCTGGCCCAGGATTTTGTTGACAAAACTGCGTCAAACAGCTGGTTAGATCGGGGATGCCTCTTTGGGGAGACGGAAGGATTCATGATTGCCATACAGGATCAGGTCATAAATACTAAAAACTACAGAAAACACATACT